AAGTCTGTAGGGAACTTCATTGCCAAATGATAGGTGGAGACCACCGCCCGGAGGACATGGGTGATCGGCCGACCTATTATGGCATTGTATGGGGAGGGGGTCGCGGCCACTAGGAAGTCGTGATTGAGTCTGACTATGCAGGGCCACGTGCCGACTTCCACAGGTACTGTCACTTTCCCAAGGGGCCTGACTTCTTCTCCGCTGAAGCCCACCAAAGGAGTGTTCGCGGGCTTCAAGTCACTTCCCTGCAACTGAAGCTGGTCGAACGCGGCTTTGAAGAGAATATCTGCCGAGCTGCCCGAATCAACGAGTACACGCCTGACCTCGAAGTCGTTGATCCTCAGCTTTATCACAAGCGTGTCATCGTGAGGGTAGTGAATCCCTCGCGCATCGTCTTCTGTAAAGAAAATTGGCTCTTCTGTCCTCGGGCGCTTCAGAGGGTTCTGTTCTTCCCGGGCGGCTTCACGAACTGACGTCCGAGCTGCTGTTGAAGTACAACCCGCGACGATCGAGCCTCCCACTATCATGTGGATGGTGCCCCAAACCGACCTCTCTTCTGGAGGCTGCCTCTGTGACTGTTCGGCCGCCTACTGCTGGACTCGGGAGCATCCTTACCGTGCTTCCCTTATCGACTTGCTTTATTATTATTATTATTATTTTGTACAAAGTTCCTTAAGTATCCGCGACGGATGAGCTCCTCAATTTCGTCGTGGAGGTTTTTACAATTCTCGGTACTGTGACCGTGATCTCTGTGAAAACTGCAATACAATTTCTTATTTCTCTCATTGGGATTCCCCCTCATACGGGGTGGCCACTTCACATACGGGGCATCCTTGATTGCCATTAGGATTTTGGCCCGCTTCGTGTTCAGTGGGGTGTAATCAGTTCGGTCCGCTACAGGGGCTCGGAACGACTGACCCGGCTTTGCCCCCCGAGCTGCATCTTTTTTCTTTCGGCTGTCCCCTTGGCTGGAAGGCTCTCCTTCCCTTTTTCTTTTCTCGGGCGTGCCCTCGCCCTTCTGGTTGATCTCTTCCTCCGTGGCTATAAACCTGTCAGCGAGCTTGTGCCATTTGAACTCTTCATGCATTATGCCTTTCTTGGCTGCTGTGAGGCACACGACAGGGTCCAGGTGCGGTATTTGCATGCACGCATCGTTGAACCGCTTGATATAGCCCCGGATGGACTCTCCCTCTCTCTGCACTATGCTGAGGAGGCTTTCTTCAGTTCGCGGGCACCACTTGCTGGTGACGAAGTGGGACGTGAAGGCTTGCGCGAACTACGCCCAACTTTTTATTGATCCGGGTGCTAGGTTCTGGTACCATGTACGAGTTGCTCCTCTAAAAGTGGTGGAGAAATCCATGCACATGCATGACTCACTGGCTCCCGCCAGGTGCATCTGCGACTAGAAGGCATCTACGTAGTCATTTGGGTTAAACGACCTGTCATACTTGTCAAGAGGGGGGAGTTTGAAGTCTTTAGGCATTGGGACTGCCGGGAGTTCGGAAGACAGGGGGACGGAACTGAAACGAGGGGAGCCTTGACTTCGCCTGAGCTTACCTCTTCTTTGCCTTCGAGCTCGGGAAGGTTATCGGTGGCAAATCGGCGAGCTCGGCGGCGGCGTCTCTGCTTCTTGGTGGGCTCGGAGTTTGTGCTGCTCACCTCCGTGCTGTTAAGAATTGTGTGTGCAGGAAGTAGCTCAAGCCGTTGGTGATGGTTGCGGACAGAGGGATCTTGCTTGGAGCCTGCGGCCAAGATCTCGAACCAGTTCTCTAGGAACGGGGTTTCGGGCTTTGAGAGTTGAGGCGACGTGGACCTGGCGAGCTGAGGTCCTCCCGACCTGACTACCCGTGGTGAGACCGGAGTGGCCGGTCTTTCTTGTCTGCCGCGGGAGGAGGCCTAGCTCTTAGGAGGGTTCTGGGGGGCCTCCCCTTGGCGAGAAAGGTGCTCCTCCTGGCGGCGAGACCTTGCCGGTGGTGAGACTGGGTGCCAAGGAGGGAGTTGCGGCTACTGAAGCTAAGGTCGAGGCAGTTGAGGGAATTGTTGTTGATAGTGGTACTGGGAGACGTGGTGTAGCACTTGCTGCTGGTAAATCTGGTGTTGCTAGAGCTACTGCACTTGGGCTTGCATGGCCCGCATGCATTGCATCAGATCGTCGAGCTGGCTCTAGCTGGTTGCCAGAGGAACGCCAGTTGGTTCAGCAAAGGTCATTTCGACCGAGGAAGGCAGGGGAACACCCACAGGCGTTGTTGCTCGCGGCATGTTCAGGCTGGGGGCTCCGTCCACCGAGAGAGGAATGGTGAACTGCCCAATACAGACCGTGGGAACCTGGGGCTGCTCCCTAGAGTTACCCATCTCCATGCTTCGTCCAACGTTGCTAGAAGAAGCCATGAGTGCCAAGTTTTCAGAGAAGAAAGAACTGCAAAGGTTTAGAGGAAGGCTTTTAGAAGCGTTTCCCACAGACGGCGCCAAATGATGGTGCGCGATCCGGTCACTCCTAGCTGGCACTTACGTGGCTCCTGGAAGGTACCTGAGATGGAGAAGAAGAAGAATCCCCGGGGTTTGTCCGGTGGGAACACTCCGATGCTTAAGTTAGTATTCTGTAGGAGAAGTAAGGAGAAGATGAGAGCTAAGAGTGCAGATAGCGCGAGAGTAGAAGATGATACCTCCGTTCCTTGATACTAGCTCCTTATAACAGAAATCCGTTGTCTCAGGCCCACAGTCCTCTAACAGGGTGGGTATAACCGCCACTGTCAGCCAGCCGCAGCCGTTACTGGCGGGGCTGAGGTGGCACGCGTGAGGCCGTCGTCGCAGTGTACGTGCCTGTCAGGTGTAAGGTGCCCTTTGAAGGTGGTAGAGCTGTCTGACGAGGAATATGGCTGTTATTCCCAGATTTGTCGGGTACAGTGGTCGGCAGGAGGTCTTCCTGCGATGTGCCGGACTACCCTCCGGCGAGCTACCCTGTGCTGGGCTATCTCGTAAGCGGCAAGCTGCCTGTGGCAAGCTAAGCCGAGCTGTCTGACCCGAGATGTCTTTACCTCGGGGTATCTATAGGCGGATCGGTGTGTTCCTATCTGGGAGAAGCTTCCTGAGGAGTGCCCATGCGGCCCATTCCTGAGCTACTTTGTAGCGAGCCCAGAATACCTCAGGATTACATTTAACAGAATTGGTCCTTGGGGTGACCTGTCTGCTTGGGAGCTTGGGCGAGCTAGTTCCCTTAGTTCACGAGCTAAAGTTACCTCGGAGTATCCCTTCAAAGGTAGCTCGGGGAACCCGGAGCTCGCATTGTGGCAAGCTTCTCCTTTTGTGGGATACGATGTAATGAGTTGCTTTATGGGCCTGTCACCCGGTTGCACTAGACTACAATGCTGAGCTGTTATCCGTACTGAGTCAGTGTCTACTTGTCACCGTTCCATAGGTCGGGTCAAATCGTCCTCCATCAGACCCTTAACAGCATTTAGCCGAAGCCCATTCAAATTTTAGAAAATGTTGAACCCAAGCGTGCCCAAGTTGCAGGCCCTAGCCCCAAGAAGCCAAAATTAGACGCACGTTACTTTTGATTCTTATTGACTTATTGTTGTGAGATGGAAAGGTCACTTAGCTTGAACTAGGCACCCTAGGAGAATGGAAAAGGTAATCTAGTACCGTGTCAATATTCCTACATTGTTATGGAGCTATGTGGGAAAAGAATTTTGTGGCTTTGTGGAGGTGTTTGTCAATATTGCGAGATTGGAATCATTGAGCTCAGCAAATCCCAGTTTTTCAATTGACGATCCCTAGAATCTATTTGAAATTGCACTTATTCTAAGTTGAGACTTGAAAAGTAAATCGAGAAATTGATTTCAACTCAAATTTCCCACTATCGCTCTCCTCTGTTGACCCTTTTACTGAATGCTGATGTAAATATGTAATGATGTATCGTGTGAGACCTTGAAGAAACTGAACTCAGTTTACATTAAAGAAGAATCGACTGTTCTTTCTATTCCTGGAAATCACTGAAACAGGTATCACCCTGATACAAGGGCTAGCTGCTTATGCAAGCGATTTGTTGCAGCAGCTCAAAACTCAGCTGATGCTGAGGCACTGGCAGACTGGTTAAGTTCCATCTAACCAAGAAAGTTCAGATAAATTACCAAAAATAAGAAAATTTCAGATGATGACATGAAGAACACATCGACTGTGCAAACTGCAAATGCCTTGTTTACAAACTCAGCTAAAAGCCCAAAGCAGATCATTACAAAAAGAAGAAAAATACATTGAACTCTCCAGGAACCATCTAAAACTAAAATCGAATTGACTTGTATACAGATGTATATATGCAATATTTGACTAGGCTTGAGATGGAAAATCAGAATTGATCACAAACACTGTGAATCACCTATGAGATGTGCATTCAGTAATCATTATGTCCAGCGTATTATTTCCATATTCATACAAGTATGATGTACATTATGCTAATAATCCATCGGAACATAATGTCAAGTGGGAACTATGCTATTCACAGGAATCTATTGACTCAGCAACATGATATTCGCATGAATTAGTGGACCACGTCCAAGAAGCAATATACTTTGTTCATAAAAGAAGAACCAAGCCTGCCACAACAGCCCACCACCTTCAAAAATCATTCTAGTGGGTCATCTTCATATCACATTTTGTAATGGTGTGAATCATAAATATATGTTACCGAGCTTCATCGGCATCCCTCTTCGTTAGTTTCCTTGCCCTGCAATTTGTTTTGGAAGTTCATGAACCACAAATTGAGGAAAAACTGAACAGGGTAAAAACAAAAGCAACAGAAATAATAAGTTGGAAAACTCATGACTCAGAATCAACTTGCACCATTATTACTTGATGGCAATGCGTTTACGAAGTGAATCAGTGATTTATCATACTAATATATTAAAAAACTAAATATTTCTTTTAAAAGATCAAAAAACTGTGATGCCAGAAAGAGATGATACCAGAACGGCTTTGACCAATCAAAACCCCCTGTGAATTTTAATAAAACCCCACCTGATTGTTTACCATTTTTTATGATGCCAGTTGATTGGGCTACAAGTTTTTCTGGTATGATGTCTTTCCGGCATCATAGTCGAACTCAATGAAATAATATCATTTATATCCTTCCCAAAAGCAAAAACAATATAATCACTTGATACATCATTGCTGACTCATAATCACCAAATGGTTTGCTCATTATAGGTAGGTATATGGCTTTTTTTGAATTATTTATTTACTTTTTTTTTTTTTGTGGGGGGGGGGGGCTATGACACCTCATGATTTTTTAAAACATTCATTACTCACATTACATTTGGACTTGAAAGGCCTGATAATAAATGGCACAATTTCACTGAGTCACAACTCAAGTTAGCATGTTTTCTGAGTAATACCTACTGTTACAAAGCTCTTACCATACCAACTGATACAGGTAACATTCTCCATCCTGATGCATTGATAATATACAGAAAAGAACATCATAGATTAGAGGAGTTCCAGCTAGCATCAACAGCCTTGATGATTTTTTCATGCAATCTGGCTCCAGAACAAGCAATTATTCCTCGATCAAGGCCTTCTAGGTAAATTCCCTTCGAAAAATCCAATTGACGCCCTCCAGCATCTGTCACCACACCACCAGCCTCTTGTATGATCAGTACACCAGGTGCATGGTCCCATATCTTTTCCTTGTATCCAGCCTTTGCAAACTTCATAAAAATCTCAGCATCCCCCCGAGCTATGGCTGCATATTTCACCATGCTGTAGACACGCAATGGCTGATTTCTACCATTGGAGCACAGATGGCGATCAAAGATTTTCAACATTGATCTAAGTAAAGACTTTTATAGGAGCCCACGTATGCAATAAAAAACAAGTAAAACATGATATGTTGCTATACTGGTTTAATATATTATCACATAATAATAGAAATGCGCATGCATAGCCAAACAGTTTAAAACACTTTCAGACCAAAGTTTTGTTATGGTACACATTCTATGCAAATCAACTTCCCAATAGATTGTATAGAATAAATCCAAAATTTTAAATAAAACAGTTGCAAAAATAAATGTACCTAAGGCCAACACTGTGAGCTAGCCCCGCTGTGAAGGAGTGGGATGAGTTGGCCTTTTCAACAGGTTCACAGAATGTTGCTAGTGCTGGGTCATCAATGGAGGAAACACGAATTATCCTTGAAGTAGGCTTCTTATTTTCATAGATCAATGGTTGCATCCATGCCTTTCTACTACCCCTCTTTGCATACATCACACAACCTTTGTCCCAAGATTCAGATGCTGATGAGGACAACTTGGACACAATCCTGTAATAGCGATGTTGATAATTTAGCCACTCCTTCTTCATTGGGTAGTTGGGGCACCCAACAACTCCAACTACAACTTCTCCATCCTCTATTAATGCTAAAGCCACTGCATATTGATCACCCCGTACAAATCCCAATGTACCATCAACAGGGTCTAGCACCCAATATCTTCCAGTTGGACCCCCTGTTGAGTTGCATCGGCTGATAGCCTCAAGAACTTCTGAAGTTCCAAGTGACCTAACTGGACCTCTAAGACCAAACATGGGAGCTTCAGCTAGGCACTCGTTCACAGTGTTCACTACAGATTCCAATAGGCCTACAGCATCATCCCTGGAAAGAGCTTGAACGTCTTCTTCTGCAATGATTAGCACATTGTTGCTCCCAAAGCACTTGGACAGCATCCAACTAACAGTTGCTTGGACGCTCCAATCTGTTTGTTCACTGATCAAGAGAATTAGTCAATGCATCATGCATCAAAGAATATATGTGGATGTGTATACCAATAATTGACAAATTATTAACCAGTTGAAAATAGAAGACAGATTCATGCATAAACTCAATCCATCCTTAATCCCAACTATTTGGGGTCAGTTAACCGACTCATGCATGCCCACAAAAAAAAAAAAAATAGCATAACCATAATGATCAGAACTTCCACCGTAAAAGAAATAGTTGCAAACTTTGTTATATTTAACTAGAGAATGAAAATTTCTCCTGGCATTTCTACCAAAATAAATAATAAATAAAGAACAAAATGCTGACATCAAACTTTGCTTGAAAAGCTATTGCTAAATGATCCTTTACATGTAGAGAATAGAGACAACACAAACAGTATATAACATTTGCACCTGATTGAGTGAACCAAACATGGCTAAGTTCTGGGTGTTTTCACATCAAGCAGGCCTTACACCAACTCAGAAAGATGAATCATGGGAAAGATTATCGCTGAGGCTTAAGAAATCTCCATATCGTAAATGTCCTAGAAAGAAGACCCCTTCCCCACCCAAAATAGAGGCTATTCTAGATTTAAGATAAAAGTTGGTCCAAGTCAAATATGGATGTAATATCTCATCATTCTACTACTTTAGTATGATACCCTGTCTACCAGTAGGACATTGTCTAGCAAGTAATTGACAAAGCTCATATTTTCACTGAATCCTCCCCCTTTCCCAAGCAACAGATTCAACTATAGCTCCATGAGGCCACCTTCAAATTTATCCTATGTAAAAGTGTTGGCATGCATGCAAAACATGTCATAAGTTCTATGACAATGGACAAAACTCAGAAAATAATGGTCTTGTAAATTAGAATTTATCAAGTTTGTACTGAGTTACTGATCCTAGTTTATGCGATAACTATCCAAAATTTGAAGTTTTCCATGCTCAATAAAGCAACACCTAGTAAAACTCCATGGATAATTAAGAACAATAGGTGCAACTCTTCTGTCCAGAAACTTCCTAGAAAGTGTGATGTCACAAAGCTCAACACTTCCTCCTACTTTTTTTCTGCATCCTTTTAAGTCGCATAATGGCCTCTTCTGAATCTTTTAGTGTAAAAGGAATACCTCCATTCTGCTTAAGGTATAGTCTCTCTCTCAAGCAGCATTTATGCCCTGTTCTTAATGAATGCAAGATATTTTCCTCCTTTTCCCACTCTAGCAATGTAGATGATGTCCAACAGTTCTCCAACAAGGCTACAATATAACCTTTAGCTTGTAAATCTAAAAGTGCACTGGTCATGACAGATCAAATTGAAATTTAAAAATATTTCCGAATACATTTTTCTCCACATGCCCCCTCCATGACAGCAAATCTTTATGTTCCATATTCTGTCATTTTAGTTAATGTCGGGGTACAAGTTTGAGATCCCCATTAGCAAACATGTCATTGCATCTACCGCTGACAAATGCTACAGAAACAGGCCTACACTTCACGTGATACATAAAACAAATACAAGACTGTTACACACTCTTCATCACTACATTCTTTAGGCTCAGTTTGGTAGGAGTATAAATACAAATATGTAGAGTGCAAAACCTTGTACTTTGTATGTATTTGTACTATAGATATTTGCATTTGTACTCTTTCCAAACTGAGCCTTAAGTGATGAAGAAAATAAAAATAGCAAAACAGCAAAATTATTCTCGTTTGCCTAAACACATCAAATTTCACTTTCCTTACTTCAGCTCTTAATTCACTCCAAGTTATCCTTCACTGTGCGAGAAATTAACTAGGAAACTGGAAAAGTAGTGTATTGGATTACAATACAGCATTGTAATCCAATTAGTGAGCTTCCGAAAAATCCACCTATGTTGGTAAAATATCCCAGACTTCAGTTGTAAACCAAACCAAAACCAACCAACAAATTCAAGATGTGGCTACTACAAAACGAAACGGAACCCATACCCTCAGTCCCTCAGAGAAATAACAAATTTTCATGTTTAGCAGCAGAACCATTTCCTTCAAAAAGATAAAAAAAAAAGGGGGGGCGGGGGGGAAACTGAAAGAACACTCGCCAAAAAACGTATAATAAATAAAAGGATAAAAGCAGTGGTTCCATTTAATGCAACTGTGATGGAGGAAAAATCAGTAGCACACAACAAAGCAAACAGAATTACCAAAAAGAAACCATTTTGTAGACAGTCGATGCAGTTACCTGCAACTGTGACCGGAGAACTATCATCTTTGGATTTAACCTGATTATTGCCCTTGGAAATCAAGCTCTGCTGCACCCTCTGACAGAGAAAGCAAGCCATTTGGACGATTCTAACAGCAACATCCAATTCTGTTGAATATTCCTCTGTTTCAGAGGATATAATCCCCAACTTTTCGTCCTCCATGATCGATGGAGAAGTTCGATGAAAACCAGAAAGAGAAGCAGTGTTTTCTGAGATACCCACCTTGCTGGAAGAGGCGGCTAGGCAGCATTTACTACTGGAGAATAGCAGAGCGCCTACATGCTTGGATGTGAGATTCTTTCTTCTCACTACCAAATTATTATGTGGGAGTTGTATTGCGTGGCTTGCACAGAATAACGGCATCAAAGACTCCCCTTCCAATCAATTTAAACTATCTTCGCCTACTCGAAAGAAAAATCTAAATTCTTTTTTTTTTTCAATGAACAAATTGGTTGTTTTTGATTGATTATGTGGGTTTTGAAACAAGAAAAACAACCGGCAAAATGGGTTAATGAAAACTGAGAAAATAAATAGAACAAGGGAACTGTAACTTTTATGGAGACCACACAACCCTCTATCTCTTTCTCGCTTGGCTTGACAGTTGACAAGCGTGACACACTGCCACCGCCTCCAAACAAACGTCAATGTTCATGGCTAGGAAGTAGGGACGTAGGATCATCATCATAACTCTGTGAACTTTGGCTTCCAAATAATCCAGTGGTTGTCAATTGCTTGTGCTTGATAAAAGAAAGTTGCATGTAATTTTCTATTGATAAAAGATAGTGATACTTTACTCCAAAAGAAAGAAATACATGTAGACATGTGATCCATTGAATCTCATCTAAATTAGGGTGACAAAAATGTGAATTAAGGCTGTGTTTGGATTGAAAGAAAAGGTAGGGAAAGGAAATACAGCGTAACAGTCCAATTTAATTTTAATTAGAGCCACTTAAGATATAAATAAATAGAGAAGTGATTTTCAAAAATCTAACTTTGTTACCTTGTTGATATAATATCTTAATCTTTAGGTACTGAGTCCATACCAGGCCAATAAAATATAATACAAGTAGCAATATGCTTTTAAAATTGTTGTTGATTTTTTTTTTTTTCAAAAGATAAAAATTGTTGTTGAATCTTGACCTTTCTATCACGTTTGTCACTTTCTACCTGATACTATACAGTTGATTCAGTTTTTTTTTTTAAATAATTACAGCTAGCACTTAATAAACCAGACACATTGCCTTGTCTCATATACTGATATCTTTGAAGGAAAACATGGGGCCCAGGCCCAGCCTAGAAAGCCTAGGCCCAAGCCCTTATGGGCTGAGCTGAAAATGATCACCACTTCACAGTAGTTGATAAAAGTTTTCTTTCAAGTCAGAACTTTTTGACTATTATGATGTATTTTGATTAGGAGAGAGCCTCCTAATCAAATACAGATTTACTGTATATCTTTTTTTTTTTTTCTTAATGAATATGTGTATAATTTATTTGGGGTCCGTTTGGTTCGCGAGACTAAGAATTTGGTATTCAACCATTTTGGTTGGGTGAAATTAGAATCCAATTTTCGTTCATGGTAGAATGGTATTTTTTCATTTGAAGGAATGATCATTCAACCAATTGATGGTGGCTCGACTGATAAGATCTCTGACTTGTTGTAGAGAGACCTGAAATCAAATCCCGCTACCACCAGGGTTGGGGATTAAGGGGATGAGGGATTGACTCCCTTCTATTCCAATTCTGGTTGAGAATCAAATGAAATTATATACATCTTTTAGAAAGGAAAAATGAATTGGGGGTGAGAGAAAATAGTTGGAGTTTGATTTGGAAGTAAATAAGTGACAAACTGACTGGCGAAACCATTCCTAATCTAGCTTGTGAGTTGAATTTTACAAAATTTTGAGGGRAAAAAAAAAGCATGCGAAGAGACACGTCATCCTCCCTTCATTGATAATTATTAGCAAATATCTATACGATAGGAGCCTTTTATGACCAACTGGCCTTTGCATGGCCCCACATGCTCATCTGTGCGTGCATTGAGAACATGAGATGTTTCTAATGGATGGTTTGGAGTGCTGTGGGGCACAGATGTTTCTTTCTTTGCATGTAGTATATGCCAGTAGGGTCAGCTTTGTTGTCAGATCTATTTACATTGATAGAAGATATATTAACAAAAAGATGGATAGGAGATGTGAGTTCACATGGATATATTACATTGGTCTCCGGCCCAATGGTATTTTATTACTATAATCTATATTATATTATATTGCGATATATGTTATGTCAGCAGCTCTCTCTTTTTCCATTCTCTATTATCTTATTTTTCCTTAACGTTCTTTCTTTTCTCTCTTACCCTTTCCTAGCCCTTCCATGTAACTACAACATGTGACAATCCTCTCTTCCTCACTAGAGTCTCACTCTAAGGCTGTTCACGGGTCAGGTTGGGTCAGTTTATTGAGATTTTTCCAACCGATCTGATTTGATCGGGTTACCTGAACTTAAAATCGAAATCAACCTAGTGTTAAGCAAAACCGATCTGATCGGTTTGAGTCGGGTTGGGTCGGTTTGAGTCGGTTTCGACTCTAAGTTCAACCATGCTTAACAAAAACTCAACTGCAATATATATGTGGGGATTGTGGCACCACAGTATGTGAGGTAGTGAACGCGGGAAAAGCCTTGTTTTTGATAAACAGGATATACCTCTAATCCACAATTTGGACTTTGGAGAGGAGAAGAAGAGCAAAACCCATATATAATAATAATGCCTATTATAGAGGTATATATGTTATATATCTTTTCAGTAATTAAGTTTTATCTCCAAAACCACCAACCTATCCCTTTGATTATATATTCATTTTGAAGTTTAATTGTCTTAATTAGGATTTGGATGAATTCTGTAGGAAGACTTCAAGACAGTTAATTACAATCATTAATCTAGCCAATGTAATAGATTTGAAGAGGGACAATTAGTTATGGGGGCTTAATTAATTTAAACTTCAGAAAAGGATAATTAGTCGGTTCGGTTCGGGGCGGTTTTGGTTTTTACACAAGAAAACCGAAACCGACCCAAACCATCGGTTTATGATGTTTTACAACCCGAAACCGACCGGTGCTGAAGATAACCCGGTCAACTCGGGTTGGTCGGTTTGGTCGGGTTGGGCCTTCTTATGAACAGCCCTATCTCACTCTAACTCCCTCTCTCTAATCTTCCTAATCACTTAGCCAACCCCTTCTTAAAATTTCTCTTAAACTATCTCTCCCTCCTAAACTTCATCCTAAAACAATTTTTAATATATATTATATGCCCAATAAATGATTTAAAAACCAAAAATGTGGTCAAATTAATTTGTGAAATATTTTTTATATTTTCAATAATTACTGATATTATTGAATATTATTCAGTAAATATCAACACCTAAACTATAATTTTTCATAATTTTGGTAAATTGGAAATTTTAATTACTAAAAATTACTGATTTTAGTAATTTAATTTCAGAAATTTTTGAAAATTAATTATTGAAATCAATCATTACTAAAAAAAAGTTAATAAATAAAATTTTTAAAATTAATCATTATTTCAATAAATATAAATTTATTTGTTTACATTTTTATTAATTTTTTGGCAATAAGTAGTTATAGATATTTTTAGTAATTTTGGTCAATTTATTAACATTTAATGATATTATCAGATAATAATTAAAATTTTTTAGTGGAAAATTAATTTTAATAAATACAAATTTGTTTTTTATATTTTCAGTATTTTTATATTTACTATACTTTTTGAGCAATAATTAGTGATTTTGGTAATTTAACTAAAAGTTATTGATTTTGGTAATTTAATTTAGTGAAAGTTATATTATAAAACTTTCAATTATTCAAATAAATAATTAGAAAATTTTAAGTAATTTAATAATTTCTAGAAGTATTGTATACTACATTTATAATTACCATAATTATTGGAACTATATTTATGGGTTTGGGGGATGACCCTTGGATAGGAATGGTAATGGACGAGTTCAGGGCGGGGATCATACTCTCCGTCCTAACCCTGAGTTTTAAATTAATCCTCATCTCTGACCCTAATCCCCATTGGAAAAAAAAAATAGCTTGCATCCCCGGTCCTCGACAAACATAGGTTCCCCATCAAGAACTTGAATCCTTGAATATTTTAATTAAAAGTTTGTTTTTAGAAATGTATTTATTTGAAATAAAGGAAAATTAAAATGCAAATAATATTATAAATATATTTTGATATATATAATATAAATTATATTATAAATAACATAAATAATATTATATACTTAATATAATATATATACACACATATATTTATAATATATAATTGGGGGTAAGTGCAGGGTGTGGACTTCATTCCCCATTCCCAATTGAGTATTCCTATTAATCTCATTCCCACACTGTCCCTGCTAAGGCGGTCTCCATCCCTATCCCCACCTAGTTAGGGAGGCTGGGTACTTGGTGGGGATGGGGAAAATTGCCATCCCCTACCCTGGGGTTGTGTAGAGGGGACCCGTGTGATGCACAGGATTTGTTAAACAAAAGCTAAACAATAGAAACACATAAGAGTATACAATTGTTTTATATTTTTAACTGTTTAAATAATTAATAATTATTTATATGTTATATACTACTTTTAATAATTTTTTGCAATACAAAAATAACAATAATTAATTTCATCTAGGGTTGTTCATCAAACTGATGAAACCGACCAACTTGGCCCAAGTTGGTCGATTTTCTAGTATTTTCCGATTGACTTTGGTTCAGCAATTTCCCAACCCGACTAGGTTGGACCAGTTTCTCTTTAGCCATTTGTAAATTGACCAAAAATGAAATGACTCGACCATATATATATATATTTATTTATTTTAGATTTTTAATATAATTTTGTTAATATGCAAAAGTGGGAAAATTCCCATATTTCTTAGTCTAAAATATTTTATATCATAAATTTATTTTTTTAATAATGCCACTATATTTTCTAAAAAAATTAACTTTAGTTTTTTAAGTTTAAATCTTTTTAACTGATACAACTCAAGTTGGCTGGTCTTCACTAATGGTCAATCGGTTTTAGACTTTTAGGTGACTAACTCCCCAACTTAACCAAGTCGATCTAGTTAGCAAAAATGCCTACAATTGAATTGAACAGACCAATGAACACTCTTAATTTCAGCTAAATTAATAGTTAAATCTCCAATAATTATTGACAATTTATAGCAAAAATACACAATTATTGAAAATATATTGATAATGAAAATATAATAAAAAAATAAAAAATACAATAATTACAAAAATACAATAAGTACTAAAAAATATATTAAATTAATCAATAAATAGTGTAATCTCAAATAATAGTTTAATCTCTAATAAATATTAATCAATAAATTATAACAAAAATACAATAAATACAATAAATTAAATTTTAAAAAGTTAAATAATAATAGTTTAAGCTCCAATAATTATTGAAATTTTTTTATTAAATAACAAAACATAAATAGATTTATACATAATTATTGAAAATATATTTATCATGAAAATCAACAAATACATAATTAATTTTAGTATATATAAGTATATAATAAATATAGATTAAGATTTTAAAATTATTATCAATAAATATTATTTTTTTTGAAAGTTGTTTTCTAGAATTATTAATTGATATAAGTGAAATTAGTTATTTACAAT